TTTAATGTGTCTCCAATACTCTCAGCACATGGGAGTTCTTTCTAAGCTTTCTTTGATTTGACGATTTATTTTGAAATTGGATCAAAGATGGTCGACTAGCAGGCATCTTGTTTGATTTTTTGTATGCGGTATCTAGGACATGCTCTGTCAGTTTTCATTCAAATTTGGCACATACATGTACATGTACTTTATACATGTTAGGATGCATGTCCATGACAATTTGTTTCAAAATCTGGTCAAGAATGGCCGATTGACAGCCATCTGACTTTTTGGCCTTACTACTATATTTCCACAATTTATGTACCATTTTCATTTGTATTTGGCACATACATCATACATATCAGTGTGTTTCATAATCAGATCAAAGATGGCCGAATAACGGCTGTTTTTATTTTTGGCTATATTACTGCTACACGGAACACGTGTTTTGATGTAAATAAACAATCTGTTGTATACGCCACTTGGAACTCAAGTTTCAAGGACACGCTCGCGTCAACCCCTTCGCTTTAATATGATGAGCACAAAGAGAACTTTCAAAAATTTAACGGGGACTGTGTCATTTTCAATGACTTGTTGTTATTAAATTATTTTTTTTGGTCATGATATCATATTTTCATACTATCTAGTATCATGAAATTTGTTAATTTTTTTTCGAAATTCAACAAAACACCTTAGATCACAGTTTGTACATAACAACTAGGTTTGTCCTAATGAGTTTCTTACAAATTCTTATCAGTGAGTATTATTGTTCTTCATAGCTTGCATCTGGCGTGTGACTGTAGTTTTCTTTACTGGCATCGAGTCATTTTTCCTATTTATTTGATGGACAAATATGAGAATTCTTTGGATGCTTATAGAATTCATGTGAGTAAATACTTCACTTATTTCTGTGCAAGTTTATTATGTTTAACTGTTAATTTGCTTACCAAGGTACAAATCTAGACCTATTACACCTATGTGTGTTGATATTCATGTTTCCTGTTGTTTTTTTACTTTTCACCACCACTTCCCTTTTTTCATCATAAATTCACAAAATATTCCCATTTATAGTCTGCACTTTCCTTACAAAAATAGTCATATTGTTGGAGTAAAAACTGAAAATTTACTCAAATTTTGTCTGTTGACTCAAAATTAGGGTTCATTATAAATTTATTTTTACTCCATTCAGTAAACTGTAGTTGTGTTATGCTTTACCTGTTTGACAAAATGTATCATAAATTTTGCATGGCACTCAAATTGCTATTGTCAAATATGTTGTAAGTTGACAGATATATTGGCAGTCACTGTAAGAAAATTATGTCGTTCATGTTTGAATTTTATTTTCAGTACATGTTTGCTTCTTTGGCGGATTGTGTTCCTCCAATGTGGCAAGTCAAGCATTTACCATCACCACAGACTCTATTGGAGGTTTACAACAAAGAAATATTATCCCATCTTAAAGAGGTAAGTGTAATTAATTCATGAAAATCAAACATACCTGCCATTCAAGGATTAAGTGTCAGTCACGTTAAGAACAATTCATTCAAACTTGATACACATCTTTTAATAGGTGATTGTGAATGGGCAAATGCTATCTAAGCCTTACTTATATGCCTGTACCTGTGCAAACCAATTATATACAATCTTAAAATGTACATAATACATTATGTGACACATATGCATCTGTATTCCTTGTACAACTTTTTCAAGAAAACAGGCATTTTTAGGTTGGTGCTGGTGTTGTTGCCACCATAGAAATAACTTTGAGAATCACAGCTAAAATCTAAATTTTGATTTCTTACCAGTACATCAAAAAATACAATGTTAGAATCCAGAAAATATTAGAAATTTATTTGGCTGCCATTAGCCATAGACTGAAAATGTATGTCTGCTTAAAACTTTTGTTTAGGTTACATTAACAGTTTTCTTTCAATCTTTTTCAATTTGAATATTTTATTAATCAATTTGGAATCTTGGCCAAATTTACTTTTAGTGTGCGTTGTATGTATTATTCTATTGCCAATTCATTTCAGCATCTGTTGGATCGTCTATGTCGTGATGTGGAAACAGATCTCAGATTATCCATCCATACTCACCTTCAATTGGATGACAGAAATCCTTTTAAAGTCGGACTCAAGAATATGAATCAATTTCTACTTCTCAAACCAATAAAATTCTTTGATAATTTTATTGATGTTAAAGGTACTCAGTTCTGTCACATTCATTGGTTGATTTATTTTTTATTTATTAATTTTATTCATGTTAAATTTAAAGCCGGGAGTCGTCACCTGCACATGCGCCAGATGGCTATAGCGTGTCATTGTTTACAAACAAGCATCTACCCATGAAGCTTTGCATTTTTACAGCAAGTCTCAGAAGTATTGGGGCAGCCAATTTGCAAACTCGCTAGCGAATTGGCTAACTGCTTGGGTTTTGACTAAACAGTTGGCTTTTGAATCTTGCTGGCACCGACTCGTGGTCGCGTCCACTCTGGGCGAGTCTATATTGCATTTGGGGACATAGAATGCTTTTACGTATGTAGCCAGGTACATGTTTGGATTCCCCTGAATGATTTGCTTTGCAAGGCGTAATAATGTACAAGTAGTTTTCCTGGTAAGTATAAGAATAGCCACAGTCAGCTGACGTACAAGTAATAATATGATAAGCAATTAATACACCGATATTTACTATCTATATGGAGGTAGCCATCTTGAACACTGATTGAAACTAAATAAAGAGACAAGTTGAGAAACAGGTTCCTACAAATCAGGGAGAAAACAAACTTTCACATCCAAACGATTCTTGGGGTAACATTAAGCCAATCGCTAATAAAATTCGACGTCACTTCATTACACGAAGAACACAGAATACTTTCCCTGGTTTATTTGAAAGCGAAATCGTCATCCAACTGTAAGGCCGTCGCTGACTAGCTTCTAAAGTATGACGACCATCCCTACCAGGGTCCCTACTGTTATATAGATTCACCCAAAGTGAGCGTGATCACAAGACGGCGCCAGTGAGATTCGAAAGCCAACCGTGTAGTCAAAACCAAAGCAGTTAGCCAATTCGCTAGCGAGTTTGCAAATTGGCTGCCCCAATATTTCTGAGACTTGCTGTAGTATGTGTTGTTATCGTCGCTTGGGACTCAATTTTGGCGCATGCACAGGTGACGATCTTCTCACTTTAAGTATTATCCTGTTTATTCTATGTACCGGTATTTACTGTTTATTGTAATCTAATGTGATGTTAATTTTCAGCTTATGTAAGTCATTATCTGGAGAAAACCTTCTATAACTTGACAACTGTGGCTCTGCATGATTGGAGAACTTACGCAGAGATGAGAAATCTAGCGTCTGAGAAATACAACCTTGTAATGAGTGAATCTCATTTACCAAGTCAGACATTAGAACAGGTATGTTGCAAATACACAATATTATTATACATCTGTCACTGTAACGCCATAAGTTACAGCGTGTCGTAATTTTGTGGTATTGCACTGGGTATTTTCATCCTACCATATTAGGAAATGCGTTTTCCAAATATGGAGCGATTTCGCGTGTGAACGTCCTCTAATAAAAAAAAAAAACATGGCAGCCCCCAGGGTTTGACCGGACTTCACAGTTCGCTACCGGTAAATCTGAGGCGTATCCTTGGGAGGAAAAGATGTATAATAATAATACTCAGACAGTAAGCCATTGCATCGACCTCCACCTCGATACTCCTGTTGTACTGTCTTCGTGCATACTTTTTGGTATCCTCGTAATAACCTTATATTATTACACATTAGTTACTGTAGAGCACAATTATTAGGAAATGTAAATTCAAAATACAAAGTCATAATGTGGAATTTCTAAGATAATTTGCATCATTTTGTTCAGCTCTGGGATATTGTACAGTAAGCGGTTAGTTTGGGAAGATGTATGATTATAAGAGGATACCGCAAAGTATGTATCAGATATTACACAGACACATCGACTTCTGTGTGTCAGTCAATACTCATTGCCGTCTTTGTACATACTTTGCAGTATTCTCACAATAATTTCATTATAATGAATGAATCTCAATCACTAAGTCCGACTTTAGTAGATATGTAAAATAAGAAATACAACTTAGCAATGAGTGATTCTCATTATGTCTATATTAGTAAATGTGTACATGGTCTCCTCTGTTATTTGATATGATTGTCATGTTCTAATTACAGGGCCTGGATGTTCTTGAAATTATGCGCAATATACATGTGTTTGTATCAAAGTACTTGTATAATCTCAATAACCAGGTATGTCAGACTAATTGTTGAATACATTTATACTGAGTACACCATTAGTTTAACAGTGTTGATGTTGTACATGGTAAGTAGGACACAGATAACTAGTAATAGCCATATTGTTTCAACTGGGCCGAGATTCCGGCCCAAAGGCACGTGACTAAGTGACGCAATTTGAAAACATTCTAATATTTGTTTTCTGCAAACAAGTCTTCATTACTGTACTACTGCCATGCCCATACAGTCTGCCAGCAAAGACTAAATATTTGAGATGGTTCTAGCATTTCTCGCTGTTTCTGTACAAATTAATAACAAAATAAACAGTTTCTTGTTCGCCCAACTTTCGAGAGTAAAAGGAAACCCCTGAACGGCCACAAGCGTAAGTGCTGATATTAAGTAATCAAATGAAATAGAACACAGAATGACAACTTGATGGTCCAATCAGAATGCTTGAGTCATTACTAGTTAGCGGCCTCATGTGGCTTGGTGGAATTGGGGGCATTTCGCCCATTTACCACTTCGCCCGAACGGTTTCGCCCGATTACCTGTTCGCCCGATTGCCATTTCGCCCGATTACCAGTTCGCCCGATTACCAGTTCGCCTGATTCCTCGTATGTTTGGTATTTACGTGTAGTCAAAACAAGATAACGTAGAAGTCGAAATTTGTTTTTATAAGTGACGAACGTGAAGTTTACAACGGGGTTGTAACGTAATTTATGCCG